AAAACAAAAAGACAACCTAGGAATGGGAGAAACTATTTGCAAAAGATGAGACTAACAAGAGCTTAATTTCCAGAATATATAAACAGCTCATACAACTTAATAAGAAGAAAACAAACAACCCAATTCAAAAATGGGCAGAAGACCTAAACAGACATTTCCCCAATGAAGAGATGGACAACAAGCACAGGAAAAGATGCTCAATATCGCTAATTATCAGAGAAATGCAAATCAAACAACCACAATGAGGTGTCACTTCACACCGGTCAGATGGCGATCATTAAAAATCCCCTAAATGATAAATGCTGGAGAGGGTGTGGAGAAAATGCAGGAGAGACCTGTTAGTGGAACGTAGTTTGGTGCAGCCATTATGGAAAACAGTATGGCGATCCCTCAAAAGACTAAAAATAGACTTAGACTTAGCATATGATCCAGCAATCCCACTCCTGGGCGTATACCCAGAAGGAATCTTAATTCAAAAAGATGCATGCACCTCAATGTTCACGGCAGCACTATTTACAATAGCCAAGACATGGAAACAACCTAAATGTCCAACAGATGACTGGATAAAGAAGTTATGGTATATTTATACAATGGAATACTACTCAGCATTAAAAATAATAAAATAATGCCATTTGCAGCAACAGGGATGGACCTGGAGAATGTCATTCTAAGTGAAATAAGCCAGAAAAAGAAAGGAAAATACCATATGATATCACACATATGTGGAATCTTAAAAAAAAAAGACGAGCTTATTTACAAAACAGAAACAGACTCACAGACATAGAAAACAAACTTATGGTTACCAGGCAGGGAAGGGGGTGGGAAGGAATAAACTGGGAATTTGAGCTTTGCAGATACTAACTACTGTATATAAAATAGATAAACAACAAGTTTATACTGTATAGCACAGGGAACTATATTCAATATCTGTAGTAACTTATGATTAAAAAGAACATGAAAACGAATATATGTATGTTCCTATATGACTGAAGTATTGTGTTGTACACCAGAAATTGACCCAACATTGTAAACTGACTATATTTCAATTTAAAAAAAGGGTTGGGGAGGAAACAGCAAGTGCAAAGGGCCTGAGGCAGGAACAAATCTGGCCTGTTGGAGAATCAGTGTGCTTGGAGCACTGTGAGGTTGGATCATGCAGGGACTTGCAGGCCCAGAACTTGGACTTTGGATCACATCCTGGGTATCCTGGAGGGTTTAAACAGAGGAGTCAATAGATCAGATTGATAGTTTAAATAATCTGTTGAAGGCACGTGGAGGATGTTTTGTAGGGAGGCAGGAGTGGAAGTAAGGAGAGTGTTAGGAGAGCCCCGGGCAGTGGCCCAGGCCAGAGATGGTGGCACTTGCTGGTGGGGAGCGAGAGTAATGGGCAGATTTCAGATGTTTTAGGAACAGAATGGCAGGACTAGGAGTCCAGATCCCTTGTTTGTTCAACCCCATTGTGAAGATGTCCCCCACAGACAGGCTTGGGAGTGCCTTGGGTAGGGACCAGGACCTAGTAGGGCTGGGGGGGTTTCCTCCTGGGGTCTCTCAGACTCCAAGCCCAGACTCCAGGGGCTGCCCGACACCGGAAGAAGCAGAAGATGGTGGGAAGGAGTGCTGTGGCCGGCAGGGTCATTCCATGCCAGGCTCTGTGCTACTAAGGCAGCTGAGACCATGCCTGGCACTTGGAGATGGTCCTTTCTCCCTTTTTCCCCATCAAACCTGGATTCCTGATCTCTCCCTAAGCCTGGTCCTCCTGCAATGCGTCTTCTGTTCAAAACTCTTCAACACCCTTCCCACTGGGAGGTGGGATTTTGTCCCCATCCTTGAATATGGGCTCAGGGACTCTAACCAAGTACAGCGATGGTGAACCTGTGCCAGGTTTCAGGCTCAGGCCTTAAGAAACTGGCAGCTTCTGCTTTCCATCTCTTGGGACACTCGTTCTGGGAACCCAGCCACCGCACTGTGAGGAAGCCATGTGGTCACACGGAGAAGCCACAGACAGCTGTCCCAGGTGACGTCCCAGCTGAGGTTCCATCTGACAGCCAGCAAAGACTATCCCGCCGTGAGTGAGCAGCTGGCCCCGGCCCCGGCCCCGGCCCCAGCCTCTGAGCTGCTCCAGTCGGTGGGGATTTGGAGCAGAGATGAGCCACCCCTACTAAGTGCTTTTCGAATTGCCAATCTGTGAACAAAATAAATAATCATTGCAGTTTTAAGCCACTACATTTGGAGTGGTCTGTTATGCAGCAATAGGTCGCTGGGATTCCATGTTCCACCTCTCCAGAGCCTGTCTGTCACCAAATACCACTGTGTCTTCCTTCTAAACACCTCTGAAATCCATCCCGTTCTCTCTGTCTCCCCTACTGCTCCATCTGTCACCTGGACAATGACGTCAGTGTCCAAATAGATCTCCTCCTACTTGCTGTTGTGCCACAAGTTCTGTTCCCCACACAGCAGTCCAGAGAACTTGCTAGAAAGCCCATCTGATTACTCCCCAGCCCATCTTTAGCCATTTGAACCACTCAACGGCTCTCCACTCTCCTAAGACCAATACTCACCATCCTTTCCCGCTTTGGGCATTAGCCAGAGCAGTCTTTCTTCTCTTTCTCCGGTACCCCAGAGCCTTTGCACATGCTGCTCCCACTCCCAGAGCTGCCCTCCTCCACCCACCTCGTTAACTCTCACTCAAACATCACCTCTTCCGCGAACTGCATTTAAGTCGGTGGGTGGTTCTCGAAATGGGGTCCCTGAACAGCATCATCAGGGAACTTGTTAGAAATGCCACTTCTCAGGCCCAAGCCCTGTGCGAAGGCATCAGAAATCCCGAGGCAGGGCCCAGGAGTCTGTGTTTAACAAGCCCTGCAGGTGATTCTGATCCACGCGCTCTAAAGCCCCCAGTTCAGGTCACGGACTTCATCTTCTCCCATCTGCAAATTCCTTTCTTTCAGAGGTCTGCCTTTGTGACTACACAGGGCTTTGTGAGATTACCTGGCTCCCCTGGAAGACAAGAGCACAGGGGCCCCTCATCTTCTGCTTCTCACTGCCTCCCGGCACTCAGCCGCAGGCCCGCCACATCCTGGAGCTTAGGGATGAGGGTTGAATAGATATTGACTGTCAGCCTCCAGGTGGTCATGGGCTTCTCTGGGTGTGAGGGAGGGGAAGGGACTGGTCCCTTACAGAGTGGGACCCTAAAAATGGCCGAGGGGAGGGTGAGAAACCTGAAGAAGCTTGGGAGATTTCAGCCCCTCCAGAAAAGGGAAGGGTGTCCAGAGCCAGCACTTCCCCTCCCCACCCCCCCATCCCTCCTCCACCCTGGGGTAGCCCTCAGCTGGCTGCTATTGGCCACTGAGCCAGGCCTTGTTCCATGGGCTTTGTGTGTTTTATATCATTACTACAATAAATTTCTGAGTTGTGTATCACTAACATTCCCATTTTACAGACAGGGAAACTGAGACAAAGTAAGGCTCAGGTACTTGGCTGAAGTTAGGGCAGGGGGGACTTGAACCCAGGCTGTGTGACTGGTGCACTGCCCCTCGCCACCGATGCCCAGGTGGAGAACATTCAGATGGCCCAGGAGATAAGAAGCAGGGGAGCAGTGGGCCGGCGAAGCTATGTGGAACCTCATTTGTGCTGCCGAAAGGCACTCCCAGCTGAAGCGGATTGTGACGGGAAGGCCCCAATTGTCAGATCTGTCTAAAGTTTTAAGAGTAACCAAAAATGTGGATTATTAATATACAGTCTCCCTGTTTCCAAATGATTACATTAAAGCCCTTAGATGCTTCCAGAGACCAGATGACGTTGGTGGTGAAACCGAGACGGGTGAATGTCATCAGAGCCAAAGACGATGCACCACAATGTGTAGCTAAGTTCTCTGACCTGGCCCTGGCCCCGCCACATCAGACTTGCAGCTTCTGCCATCATCTCTGGGGCAGTCCACTTTAAATTCACTCTTGGTGGGATGTGGTTTCACTGAGGGCAGACCCCTAGTATTGATCCTTACCTTTGTGTCTCAGCCCCCCAATGACCAGTGCCATGTGGATGGGGGCCAGGTCTGCCGGGTCACAGCTGTGTCCCCAGCCCTGAGCCTGCATGTAGAAGATGCTCACTAAATGCTTGCTGATGGAAGCAGCAGTGTAAGCCCTTCCCCCTCTGAACTCCCTCCCATCCCCACGCTGGCTCCTCCTGGTCCCCTGCCCCAGGTGTGTGGGGGCGGGGCCATGGAGGTTTAAAGGCCGGCAGCTGGGTCCCTCTTGGCTGCTGAGTGCCTGGGGATTCTAGGCCACAGCATGGCTACCACCGGCCCTGTAAGTCCACCTGCCTGCCCCCTTGGGCAGCGAGGGCCGGGGCTTACCACCCACCCTGATTCCTTTCTTTGGTCAGGCTGGAGATGCTGAGGGGGGGAACGAAAACTGGAGGAAAGACAAGGAGGAGAAAGAAGAAGAGGAGGCGGCAGCAGGGGCGCTGGTGGGAGAGGAGGCTCTGTGCGCTCCCACGGCGCTGCTGTCCCTGAGCAGGAAGGCCCCGGACCGGGGCCCCACGGAGAGCAAGCTGGAGTTGCACCCGCTGCTGAGCAGGTAGGGCAGGCCCTGCTCTGCGGCCTCAGACTCAGCTCCTCACCTGGGAGAGTCCAGAGCTGGCCTCAGACTTGGGCTCTGTTGGCCCTTCCAGCCTTAACCCAGCTAAGAGGTTAACTGCCCTCACTTGGGGGAGTTTAGAGCTCAGTGGCAGAGTGCAGCTTAGCACGCACAAGGTCCTAGGTTCAAACCCCAGTACCTCCATTAAATAAATAAGTACACCGAACTACCTCCCCTTCAAAAACAAACAAAAAACTGTCCTCGCTTGTCCACAGCCCTTCAGGATAACTGACTCCAGCCCCCTTGGGTGAGGGTGGGAGTGCAGGGGGCTGTGCCCCAGATCCCATCTCGCAGTTTATCCCAGAAGGGGCGGGACTTCCCTGCCAACCTGGGTGCTGCTGGGGGCGGCACGGGGTGGGGTGTTCTTCTTGCTCCTGGCCCCCCTCTTCTAGGTGGGCTCTGTGGTTCTTCAAGAATGACCGTAGCCGGGCCTGGCAGGACAACCTGCATCTGGTCACCAAGTTTGACACCGTGGAGGACTTCTGGGCGTGAGTGTCCCTCATGGAGGAGGCCAGGACCAGGGCGCCCCGCGCCGGGGATCCTTCCCAGACCCCACCCCTCCTGGGGGCTGCCTCCCACACAGCTTTTCCAGCCCTCCCGGGGGCCTGGCCGCGTCTTGCAGAGGTTTTGCAGGGAGGTGGTAGGGGGATTGGACTGGGGCACAGGCCCCACTGAAGGCTTCTCGGGGCTCAGGAGAGAGCCTGGAAGTGAGAGAAGCCAGGAGTTAACCCTGACTCTGCAGCTTCATGCTTTGTGACCCTGGGCAAGTTCCTTCCTCTCTGAGCTTGTCTCAGCCACAAAGAGAGTTTGAGGCTGTCTCAGTGTCTGTGGTGATCAAGTGAGGGGATCTGAAAGGTGCTCCACAGACCCTGGGGTGCAGGGGAGGGGTGGTGAGAAGGTGGCATTTGAGGGTTTGGGTAAGTGGGGATGGGATTCCTGGCAGGGAGTACCTGTCTGAGCAAAGGCTTGGAGGCTGGAAGGTGGGGTGGGAAGCAGTGGGGTCTGGTAAGAAGGTGAGGGGTCTGAGGCCAATAGGAAACCAGGCCCTAAAAAGCCCGGACTTTCAGCCTGGGGTGGGGACCTTTCTGCAGGATGTACAGTAACATCCAGCTCGCCAGTAAGCTCTCCTCCGGCTGTGACTACGCCCTGTTCAAGGTAAGCCTAGGCTTCCGCACTCCTCAGCACCAGCACGGGGCCGATTCTCCCCTGCTTCTGCTGCGTTCCTCCCTCGCAGGGGATTTGGGGGTCGGGTGCCAAGAACAGCCTCCCTCAGAGCCGAGTGTGATTTCTGGGAAACCATGCACCCAGAGGAGCCTGGACAGAGTGCCAGCCCCAAGTGGTACCTTGAAGGACAGGGGAGGGGAAGGAGGGGGGGAGCGAAGGAAGGAGCCTAGGTTTCTGGCCTGGCTCCTTAACTGGGGACGTGCATCAGGATGGCCCGGAGACACTCATCAATGTCCTGGAGGTGCTGTGCGGTGGGGCCCTGACAGCAGTGTTAAGAGGTTTCCCCAGGTGGCTTGTGCCAAGTCTGGGACGTCTGCCTTTGCCCGCACTGGGGTTGCCCCAGGTGCTTCCTTACTCACCCCTATTTGAACTCTCATCTCAAGGAACTCAGCTCAGTAAAGGAGACAAACCCACCTATGCGAGGCCATGTAAGGTGACAGATGACAAACCCACCTATGCAAGGCCACATAGGTGACAGATGTAGAGGTTCAGGGGCACTGGGGAGCACACAGGAGGGTGCGGGGGGTGGAATGGCTGGTGGTGAAGCTGGCTTGTACAGAAGGGATGGAGGCAGAGAGAACCTGGCTTGGTGAGGGGGGACGGAGCAGGGCCTGGGGAGGTGGCTGAGCCCTCATTTCCCTTTGAACAAAGGGAGGTAGCTGATTTGCCATCCCACCCCCCAGGATGGCATTGAGCCCATGTGGGAAGACAGCAGAAATAAGCGCGGTGGCCGCTGGCTGGTCAGCCTCGCCAAGCAGCAGCGCCACAGCGAGCTGGACCACCTGTGGCTGGAGACCGTGAGTCCAGGCCTGGGAGCGGGGCCCAGGGGGAGGTGTGGGGCTGGTATGGTGGCTGTGGTCTCAAGGAAGGCGGGCTCAGTCTCCTCCTCCTCCCCTTCGGCCCCAGCTGCTGTTTCTGATCGGGGAGAGCTTTGAGGAGCACAGCCGGGAGGTGTGTGGAGCTGTCATCAACATCCGAGCCAAGGGGGACAAGATTGCTGTGTGGACCAGGGAGGCGGAGAACCAGGCGGGCGTGCTGCACATCGGGTGAGGGGTATCTCTGGCACGGGGTGGGGGCTGGCCTCTTCTAAGGGAGAAGGAGATGTCTGAAACTCCCCGGGATGCCTCCCCCTTCACCCTTCCCCACGTGTATAAAGGCTGTGGAATATAGATTTCTAAATGATTTTTTAAAATTGAAGTATAGTTGATTTACAATGTTGTGTTTCTGGTGTACAGCATAGTGACTTCAGTTCGAATTTTCATTATAGGTTATTACAAGATATTGAATAGAGTTCCCTGAGCTGTAGAGTAGATTTCAAACTACTTCTTAGCAGACCTCTTTCCTTTTGCATTAGTCATATTTTGGGTTTCACAATAGGTAAGACACAAACACATGCAACAGGAGTGACTGTGGTTGGAACCAGGGTAGGAGCTCTGGGCAAAAGACCCAGGGTCCCAGGTTATCTCCAGGACCCGCTACTGACTCCCTGTCTCATTTCCTCCTCACTTAACTCCCAGGCGTGTCTACAAAGAGTGCCTGGGCCTCTCCTCAAAGACCATCATTGGGTACCAGGCCCATGCAGACACGGCCACCAAGAGCAACTCTCTGGCCAAGAACAAGTTTGTGGTGTGAGGGACCCTAGCACCACTGCCCATTCGGCTGCCCCTGAGACGCCCACTGCTGTGTGTGTGTGTGTGTGTGTGTGTGTGTGTGTGTCTATGTGTGTATGGGGGCTGGGCTGGGCCGGGGGCAGATGGCATAGTTCTCACGTGTCCTAGAGTGAATATGAACACGCTTTCATGTGAATTGAGGCCCTAGCCTAGGGGCAGCTCTGGTGGTGGTGATGGTGATGGTGTGTGTGGGGGACCTGAGGACCCAGGGCAGCAGAAAGGTGGAGGAGACGCTGGGCTTCTTGTTTCACCCCGGGACGGCAGGTTAGGTAGAGCGGGGTGAGGTGAGTCAGTGGGAAAGTGGGCTTGACTGCAGGAGGAAAGATACCTGGAGAGAATCCTATGTGACCCAGCATTTACTCTGTGCCCGGAAGGGGGCTAGGTGGCCTGAGGGCCAGACTCTTCCATTTCAGGGGAGGGAGCTCAAGGCCCCTGACATTCTGAGAGATGGAACTCAGGGGCAGGAGTAGGGGTCTGCTGAGTGATCGCTCTGCTTTAAACCCTTTTATGGGCTGCCTCTCATGAGGTTTGTAGCCTTGGAGTCCACCCTGTATCCCGTGCCTTCTGTCAGCCGGTTGGGTGTGGGTCCCTAGAGTGTGTTTGGAGGAATGGAGAGGGGCTGGCCCAGGAAGGGATGACGGTGGGGGTCAGGCCTTACTGTGGTTCTGCTACAGGTGGATTAACTGGCAGGTGATGAAGCTTAAGCCCCTTTCTGTGCCTGTTCTTAATAAAGACTTTTAAACAAACTGGAATTATTTTTAAAGAGGGCTCTAAAGTTAAGTAAGATTCTGCACCCCCTCCCGCCCCCACCGCCAACCTTCATCTGTTCCAGTCCTGTCTTGAGAGGGCTCATGGGAGACTCCCAGGTACCAAGGAGACTGATCAGGGCCCAAGCTGGTACGGGGGAAAGTGGTTAGTCTGGGGAGCTTCAGCTACCAAAGGGTTTTGAGCCAGGGCGTGTGGTAATGACCCTGGCGAAACTGAAGGGGCAGGAAGCAGCAGGTGCGTCCCTCACAAGACCCAGGTGTCATCTGGTCTGAGTTTGAACCGGTATAGGTTAGCTGAATTTCCTTCTAGCGAGAAACGCTTCTGATTCGACTCCACTGTAATAAAACGTCCTGCACGTGTGTTAAAAACACGATCCATATAACCATCCCCATCGCTCGGTCACCAGCGCCGTAGTTATTCCTCTGAAGGGATAGGCTCCGACAGCAAGGCCGGGGATTGGGGTGGCGCTGGCACTGAGCCTTGCGGGGGAACTGGGGGTCTTTCCTGCCAGCGACTTACGGTGCCACCAGCAAGCGTCTCAGGTGAATCTGAGGACGCTGGAGAGCCTGGGGCCGCGGCAGGCGCACGAGGCGGAGTCAGGCCTGGAGGCGCGGCTCGGGGGGCTTGAGTCAGGCTGAGGGGTGGGGCCTGGGGTGGGACAGCCAGGCGGGGGCGGAGCCAAGCCTAGAGGCGGGGCTCCAAGGGGGGACCGAAGAGGGGCGGAGTCAGGCCTAGTGGAGGCGGGGCTCCGAGGGCACTGAGCAGGGGGTTTCCCGGGGCGCCCGGGGGGCGGTCCCCTGCAGGGCGGCGGGG